GCAGAGCAGATGGCCAGGCAGACTGCAGTTGTGAGCAAGGCGGGCACATTCTCCTTCCAATTATCCAGCAGCGTTTTCCAACGGCAGATATTTAAAATTAGACATCATTTTGAAGAAATGCTAAATTCTCTTGTCCTCTTCAGCTCCATAAGGGCACAAACCCCTAATTTTTGCTCCGCTTCCATCCTCTAAGGCCTCGGTGAAAGTGTGGGATGGCTGGTGCCCCTTTCCCTTTCAGCTGAATGTTTCCTGCCCCAGTTTCTTCTGCCGTTCTTCCCGTTTTCCGCAGAGGAGAGGTGACACCACCAGCTGCTGTTTGGCACAGGGATTTCAAGGGTGCATTACATTAATTGCCGAGCCGAGGGCCGCAGGAAAGGGAAGAGAAGCTGCATTCATGGCACTCATGGCACGGAACAGCAGGGACGGGGGTAACAGCGTGTGCCTTTCAAACAGCCCGGATGGGACTTCCCCGTCGCAGGAGTAAATTTGCCGTGAAAGGCAGACGTGCTGTTTTCCCAGTGTTCACATCTGTTCCGCATTCAGAGTCCTTCTGGATGATAATTGCTGCTGTCTCCTCTCTGTCCCCTGCTGAGGAGCTGCCAGAGCTGTCGGGGGAGTTTTGGCCCAGCTCCATCACGTCCCGTAGGAGACGTCTCACGGAGCTCCAGAGGTGAACAGGGTTAACCCGGGGAGTGTTCGCAGTCCCTGCAAGAATGAAACACGACAGGAACAGTCCAGAGGAGAGGATCCCCCCATGGGGGAGCACAATGGACTGCACTGATTAACCACATCCATGCAAACGTGCTGGAATCATCTCCCTCGCTTCATGGCGTGTTAGAGGGAAGGCGTGGAGGTCAGAGCAGGGCGAGGCTGCTCGGGAATGCTGCACATCCCTGCAGCACACAGCCTGTTGTCCATGAGGATCACATCATTTCAGGGGCACAGAGAGAACAGCAGGCACGGAAAAGGGCCTACAAGACCTTGTTGGGGAATGGTGGCCACGTTTACAGAATCACAGAATGGGCAGGGCTGGAAATGATTCGTCTGGTCCCACCTCCCTGCTCAAGGAGGGTCATCCCAGAGCACGTTGCACAGGATTGTGTCCAGACAGTTCTGGAATATCTCCAGGGAGAGAGACTCCAAACCTCTCCGGGCAATCTGTTCCAGTGCTCGGTCACTGCACAGGAAAGAAGGTTCTTCCTCACATTCAGGTGGAACTTCCTGGGCATCGGTTCCTGCCCTTTGCCTCGTGTCCCACTGCTCCACACGGTGGAGCAGAGCCTGATCCATCCTCTGGCACCTCCCTGCAGATACTGAAGGACATTGAGAGACCCTGCAGAGAACGTTACCAAACTGAGGTACACATGTAGAAGCCAAATCCAAGATCTCCAGCACTGAGATCCATAAACCTCTCTCTGCAGGCTTTCCCACAAGGAAGCTGAGCATGACTTTCTTTAGACCTTGGGGAGCATCACTAAAACTGCCCCAGCTGTGCCAGCCAACGAGTGCAGGGGATGACCCACCTGCCACATGTCCTGCCTGTTGTTCCAAGGGGTGAGGCCCACCCTAAACCCTCACCCCTGCCATACAGGAGCCCAGCTGAACAAATCCCAAGCACTCCTACCCGCCTTGGCTGTGTCCCACAGCCCCACCAGCTCCTCCCTCCAAGGCTGCTCCATATCCAGCAGTTTTGCCTCCCAGTGGCACCACTTCAGTATCTCACCCGCCTGTGCTCAACTTCCCCACCCTCACAGGCACACAACAGCGTGGCAGGGCCTTCACCCATGAGGAGCTGTGAGGAACTCTGGGGACCCAGACTGTACTCCAATCACTTCCATGACCCGTGGGGGACATGGAACAGCAGGCACAGGCAGCTCACACACTCCAGCACACACGGGCAGTGACTGCCCCAGCTCCCATCCCTGGAAGTGTTCAAAGCCAGGCAGGATGGGGTTTGGAGCAACCTGGGATAGTGGAAGGTGTCCCTGCCCATGGCAGGGGGGAGAATGAGATCATTTTTAAGGTCCTTTCCAACTGAAACCATTCTGTGATTCCTCTTCCAGCTCCTTCAGAACCAACTATGTTCCTTCTCTTCTTTTCTCCACATTATCCCCAGAGATCCTGCCAAGCCAAGGGATCTCCTCAGAAAACTCCTAGCCCTGGGCAAGGCTCCTCTTCACAGACCTGGGAGAGAAAGCCCCAGCTGTGGGACACTGTGGGGACACAGCGGGTTTGTTCTGCTGCCTGCAGGTTTCACGTTTTATTTCCCATTCCCTTCTCTGGTTTGCACTTTAATAACCACTCAGCTGCCCTTTTCATCTTAACTATTACAAGTCAGTGACCTTTCCTGACTGGAAGCAGCTGCCCTTCACTTCATATCCCTGGATGTCCTGGCAATTCTTTTTATTCTGCTGTTGTTTTCACTGTCTGTGATCTGGCAGTACCAATAAACCATCGCCTCATTTCCTAGTGAAGCACTCAGTGATCACACAGGTGACCTTCCCCTCCCGTGGGAGAGCTATTTATTCCTTTTTTCCTCTCCTTTACTCAGCTGTTCTGCAGCACCATTCTGCTCCCACAGCAGTTTTTTTTTCTTTTTTTTTTCCCCAGAGATTTTGTCAACAGATTTTGTTTTGTGACTTTGGTGACCGAGATGCCATCCAGGAGCCAGATGTGCTGCAGCAGCTTTGCATTTTCTCCCTCACAGAGCTCTCCCACCTGGGAGAAAAAGGGTTTATTTCTGTCATGTCTAATTTGTGGCCTATTAATGCTGTTCTTGGGTGTCTGCACAAACAGGGCATGTCAGGTACCAAGGCTGAATTCCCTGGATTACCTTGGGCAGTTTTTTCAACAATACAGGAGAAAGGTCTCCAAAGATCATGAAAAGAAGAAACAGCAAGAATGAGGTAAAGGAGTGCTCTGATCAAATTATTCCAGTGGTTTCTTGGGCAGGAGAGAGATGAGAAGGAAAAGTACAACTAAATTCCTCTGTCCCCTTCAAGCCTGGGGGTCTCCTTGACAGCCACTCTGACACTGTTCATTGGCTCCTGCACTCTGTATTGTATTCCACAGCTCCAGCAAGCTGAGAAATGGAGGGAGGTCATACCAGCGTTCCCTGTCGGACACCCACGTACCACTGTGCAGTTAAAACAGGGCAACACAACCTCTTAATGAAACATTTTATTTAAACCAATACAAGCACCATGCTTAGCAAAAAAAAAAAAAAAAAAAAGAAGATCTGGTTTAAAGTAAACATGCAATGTGAACTAGCAGAGACTAAACAGCACATGGAAGTTGTACTGGTTACTGGTATTTTCATGGAACTGCCAAATTCTCCAACCTGGCCCTGAACCTCTCAGACCTTTAACAACAGCGATTTGGGACCGTGGAACAAACTCAGCAAGAGTTTCACTGAGTCCCCTCCCATGGCTCTGTTTCACAGTCCTTACATGTTGTACCAAGAAAATGTTTGTGATATTTATTTCTGGAGCGCACTGAAGTGAGGAACTGAGCTCTCTGGCTTCTGCCTGTTTGAGTCAGACCCCTGGCACCAGTTTAACATCGTCTCTGGACCAGCTATTTTACAGTTAAAGATACAAAAATGGAATCCTGATACAAGTGCACAAGATGCTCCTTTGGAGAAGTGATAAAGGTATCAACACCTCCATTATTGCCTCCTTTGATAGATCAGAACAGCATTCATGATACTACAAATACACTTAAACCATCAAAATACCAGCATTTACATTTTTTTTTTTGTTGTTGTTAAAAATATTCAAACACTACAAGTCCATTTCATGGGCTGACATGCAAACTCATGCTTTAACTCAGCTTACCATCAATGAACTGGACTACAGGAGCTGTGTCCCAGCCATTTAGTCAATATTTAAAGCAAACCTGATTAATTGTGGCAGATGTCTCCCTTGCAGAGACCTTTAACTCCAGGCCAAGGATTTTAAGGCCGACTTACTGACTCCTGAAAAATAGGAGCTGCCAATGGAAAATGCTGACTCTCAGACCTTTAGCTACAAAGGCTCCCGTGGGTTAATCTGTGTTGTCCTTTAGATCCCTCTTTAGAGGTCTGACAAATGTAAGAGAAATGTGTGATTACACTGGAACATACTGGCCTGGACACAGACACATCTGCCCCCCACTGAGCTCGGGGGGGGCAGCAGCACAGAACACACAGTGCCACAGATAAGGTGGGAAAAGGATGTTGTGGAAACAAGTGGGATTGGCGCAGGAAAAGATCTGGACATAATTCATGTCTTTGTTTAGTCAGGTATTAGCACTGCCTGCATCTCAAGAGCCCAGGACAATTAGCAGCAGACAGTTGTGTCAAAACACTGCATGAAAACCAAGGAGACCAGAACGAGCCTGGAACAGCAAACACCCTCTGAGCACCTGCGGCTGCTTGCACAGCTCAGAGAGGGGAAGGGGGTACAGCTGCCAGGCAAGGCTGGCTGGAGAAGAATACTGGTGGGCTGAGCAGCACCAACATCACCTCTCGGGAGAAACTGGGACTGAACTCTCACCAGGGTCTGTTTGCTCTCTGCAAGGCTGGAGGGGCAGCACCCAAGGCAGAAAGGGCTTAGTGGAGGCACGAGAACACGTGAAGTGGAAGAACTCTGCTGAAGATGCAGCTGGAAGGAGCAGTGTTTTCTTGGCCCACGGTGGAGCAGCGCAGAGATGAAAAGTTAAACTGAACCATCTGACTGCAGCAGCTCCCCCCACTCCCTCCCGAGACAGCCTCTGGGACGGTTCTTTCTGTGCAGGCAGCAGTTGGCTGCTGGCAGCCCACCAGTGTACAAAGTACAACAAAGACGATTAATCCAGTTTTCCCCACTGCAAATCAAGCCGAACGTTCCAAGCATCAGCTCTCCCCTCTCGCCCACGCTGTACTTTGACACGCCTCACCTCCAGCACAATCCCAAAAACACCCCGAGATTCCTGCTGTTCCCAGGCTGATGCTTGGAATGACGCTATCCTTTGAGCCAAAGTCTTGTTTATACAATGTTTGTCACAAAAGACATTGTTTTTATTGATTTGCAGTACAGAATGATCAAGCAACGGTTTCATAATCAACATCTTTTCATCCAGGGAAATGAAATTGTTTTTCCAGTTCACTACGTTAACACAGGAATTTAATTACAAGCATTTCTTTCCCGCACCGAAAGATCGATTTAATTGGATCGTTCCAACGTGTATTTTGAAAAGCTCCTCTCAAGTCAGATTTATATACAAATAAATGAGCAATAACATCAAACTAAGGAGAAATTCACCAACACCGAGGACCTTTGCAAACGGATTCCTTGTGATCTTGTGGCAGGAATTAGTGTTGTAACACTAACACAGGGTTATGTTCACAAGTGAAAAAAACAACCCTTCCTTCAGCAAAGGTTTCACAGCACGAAATACTGGCCTCCAAATGTAACACTGCATTCCTTCCCAGCGAGCAGATTGGTCGGGGCAGTCTGTATTTTAAGGTATGTTATCAACAGGAAGCTGCTCTTACGCAGATAACTTGCTCAGCAGCACAACAAACACTCACAGCGAGAGGCTGTCCCGTGAGTGCTCCCTCTGCCACGGCACGGGCTGAGCGTGTGTCCCACCTCAGACAACTACTCTATTCAGTATAAAACAGACCTGTAAAAAGACTGGTCATTTATAAAAGTTAAATACTATTTTCACATTAGAAGATCTGCTGTTTCAAAGAGATGAACCGTTAAGTCGACGATGAGAATCGAATGATCGCTTTTGTGCAAAAGCTTCATCTGGAATGTAATTTCGGACCAACAAGCGGTTAAGAAAAGTTAGAGATTTGTAATTAAAAGTACTCAAAAGCTACGTGTGGCCAACTTTCGTAACAAAAGAGATATAAATCATTCATTATCATGAAAAGCTTTAACCTCCTGACTCCTACAAACGGAGCAGATGATTGGAATTTCAAAGAAAAAGAGGTTGGCTTTTTGTTTGAACAGATGTCAGCTGCAGCACGAGGCACTAGGAAGAAACGTTACTTGGATTTTTTTTTTTTTTTAACAAAGTTTTTACCAAATTTGTAAAGAAGTGGCAGTGTAAAATTCTCAAGTCCTTTTAAAGCTAACAGATGAAAGGCACACAGTATCACCAGGTGTTCAGATAACAGGAAATGAGCAGAGGTAAACTTCTCAACAGTGCCAGAAGTTAGAGATGCAAGAAGGAATCTGGTACGAGAGGAACCAGAGTTGTAGTTCAGCCCTTAGTTATCAGCTAGTTCCTGTGAGACTGTATTAGCAGGAGAACTGGACAGCCAAAGCTTTGCCCTGAAATTTAGAAAGATTGACTCAGGCAACTGAGGAATTGCTGGAATGACAAAAATTAGTTCCAAGAATTTGAGACAGTTCACATGGACTCAATGGAAAGATAAATGGATGGATTTGCTGTACAAGGATTTTGTCTTTTTAATACCAAATGATTCCAGGGAGTAGCTTTCAAAATTGAGACGGCTTTAAGTCAAAAAAAATCTGAAAAGTAAGTGACAGTACACAAATTCTGCATATAAATGGCTAACGTGTGTCATCAGGATGCAGTTGTAGCTCAGAAAAAGTTAGCGTCAGCTTCCAAATGATATCTGTACACAGTTATAAATCCAGAACCCAACTATTTTAGTCACAGAAATATTAGTCACAAGAGTGCAAAAAGGAGTCCCTGCAGAGGAGTATTCCCTTTTAGCAGGTACAAATAAGGAAACACCTGCAAAGATTTGTTACTTCAAGGAGACAGACCTGCTATTCTTTGCACAAACTCTGCACAAGAGAAGAGACTGCAGGAGACAGCTGTGAATACAGTGCATTGCTGGGATGTAAGTATTCATGTCTGGTTCCAGTGTCACCAGGATGGGACATAAATACTCAGGACAGAGGTTTTCCTTAGTGGAAGAAGCCCAGTTTCTCACGCAGCCACTCTTCAGTGAGGTCTTCTGTGTTTCTGATTTCGAATACCTAAACGAAAGGGCAGGGCATCAATTCCCGAGGGGACGGCACCGGGAGGGGATAACAACACAACACAAGAGCATCTCCCACACACGATGTTTGAGCTGCAATAAACCAGTGACAAACCCAAAATGTGCAGGTGCTTTCTTGAAAGGATCAGATCGGTGGAAAATACACAAGAGTACTTGTAAATGAACAAAAATGACCTGAACAAGAATCTCCTAATTCCTATTCCTAGGCTTCACTCTTCTCCTTCAAATTATGAGAACAGCACACATACCACATTCTAAAATGACCCTGGAATGGCACCATCTCACATGTATTATCTCAGCAGGATTGTCTCCTTGAAGAACACAATGTCATCTCTGGGCTGATTCAAACCCAAAGTTCAGGAATTTTGCTCAGCCCAAAAGACAATTATTCTTTCTTGGAACTGAAATAAATCCATGACATCCAGTTTTTACCTGTAAGAAACAAGCCTGGGATACCTCAAAATAGAAAACCTGTACAAAACCCCAAAAATCACAGAATCTCAGAATGGTTTGAGTTGGAAGGGACCTTAAAGCCCATTTCCCTGCCATGGGCAGGGACACCTTCCACTATCCCAGGTTGCTCCAAGCCCCGTCCAGCCTGGCCTGGAACACTTCCAGGGATGGGGCAGCCACAGCTTCTCTGGGTGACCCCCCCAAAACAACCTAAAAACCACCAACCCAAAGCTTTGTGAAGTCTTAAACAAACCCTGATCGCAGCCTTGAAGCAGAAAATAAGATCAAAGACACCAATATACTCTTTTTACATTCCATGTGGGCAAGGAACTGGCTGTGGTTTGGGCTTTTAATACCCTTGAAGAGCAGCCACGTTGATTGTGCAGCGCTCACTGCAGTCCATGAGATGCCCACAGATGGATCATCTCATCCAAAGAGTCAGGGAAGGAAACTGGACAAATTCACAGACCTTCAAATTGGAGGAACCCCAAAATTCAGCATTGTAAGAACAGAACAGCTGAACAGAAGCCAAGCCAACACTCAAGTCACTGAAAAAATGAGAGGACTCAGCTGAGTCACATGCAGAAATCACACCAGGAGGAAGTCACAGCATGAGCCAAAATGAAACACAGCTCAGCAAGTGGCAAGAATAAAGCACATTTGAAGAGCAAGCAAGCAACCCCAACTGGAGACAGGCTGTCTTCTCCACCTTCAGAAGGAAGATGATCATGGACCTCTATATCCACTCCTGGGCTTGCATTCAGCAGCTTTCAGACTGAATTCCTCCTATTTCAGAGGTGAAAGTAACTCCAACTGATCTACTGCCCAGGCTTTCACCTTCTTCCTACCAACCCTTCTCTCTCACTTACTGAAAACTGTCTTCCCTTCCTCCTTTCTATCACAGTTCTCAGGCCTCCAAGATGCAGTTTCGACAGACCTAAAAAAAGATTTCTTGGGGCTGAGCTGATTGTTCCCACCACCTTATCTTCTGCTTCCTTCCCATTTACTCCTGTCAACCTGAGGTCTAATTTAAAACAGAGAGGTCTTTTTTTACAGCTGGAGGAGGCAGAAATTCAATGCCGGGTTGGACAGGGCTTGGAATGAGATGGGCTTTAGGGTCCCTTCCCACCCAAAGCAGTCTGTGGATAAGGAACCCCTAAAGGGAGTGCTGCTGTTGGGGAGTGGTGAAGTCATTTCACACGGTATGAAAAACCTGAAGTGACTACTGACTCTATTAAGCCTTCCTGCTCGAAGCTAAAAAATTTAAGGATTCTAGGTGTCAATTAGGTTTCAAAGGTGTCCAAAATGAAAAACAGGTGACATTTCTTGCCTAGGATATACATACACCTAGGCCTGGTGAATGAAGCGGTTTCTTCTGGTCTCAGTACTGGAGGAACCACAGCACAGGAAGAAATTGTTCAGCACTTGGCACATGTTCCTTGTTCTGCAGGCACAGCACAGCACAGCACACAGCCCCAGAAAGCAGCTAAACTGACCTGCTTCACACCACACTGAGCCTTCAGTCTATTCCTCCATCAATAAATTCATTCCCAAAAGTAAAGGCAGCCAGTCCATCGGTGCATATTTTCATTTTTGAGAACACTGTTCCTCTGTACCCTAAACCACAGAAATCCCCCCACACACACACACTCTTCCTTCACTCTTCCCAAACCAGATTCTGTTCACTGTAACCACAAAATCCCACAAAACCCTTTTTGCCATCGGTTCAAGCAAGACACAAAACAGCCTCTGCAACCTGGACAGTTATTTCAGTGGTCAGTTATACCTTAGTGAGTTCAGCTGTCTGTACAAGCTTATTCTTGCTGCCAGCATACATCATCTGCTGCTCAGGCTTACATCCTGTAGTTATGGAGGGGGAAAAAAAAGAGGGTTGGATTAGTTATTTTGACTGCCAACACTTCAAAAATAACATTTTTATTTTTTTTTTTAAATTCCAAACTGAAAGCTGAAGACATTCATAGGGAGATTCTCAGGTAACTACACAAGAACATGCTCACTAGTTGCTAAACTGTTTTACATACTTAGTGACTCCAGCTCTGAGTCGTGACTGGTAAAACAATACAATCAGTTTATCTTCTTCCAGAGGATAACAAGGATAATCCAGGAACACCAGCAAGCCACACTATCACAATACAGAACACAGATGGAAGTCCCAGGAGCAACTCAGCTCTGTGAGCCCAAACCAAGGCACAGGGTATTCGCTTTCTCTTAAAATCACACCCTTCCCTGCCCAGGTTAAGTTCATGTTGCAGGTTGCTGTGACACAAGCAGAGCACGCAACTGCTCTGTACAAACTTGGGATGATCCAGGATTACAGTCTCTTCCTCCTGGAACTTTCTCCAGCACTTTCACCTGCCCAGATGTGGGTTAGGGAGCCCTCTTTTCCTCCTTTTCACCCACAGCACCCTCTGCTGCTGCCCATCACATCCAGGCCCCAGGAAACCCTCCTCTCAAATCCCATCCTCACCCTCTTACAGAGTCCTGTTCCTTTTGTGGACAGAATGAAAGGAATAGGACTCTTAAGGTCCTCAGAAATAAACGGGTTCCCATGTCCTTCTGAGATGAGGAATTTCTTGCCCTTCCAGCCACTAATATTCATGGATAGCAAGACATACATCCTAAGTGCCCTAGATGTGAACTACAAAGGCAGGAAAACCTCCCTGAGAGCATTAAGCACTCAATTTTATCTTCCCTAGCAAAGAATATTCCCAAATTTACATCACACAGTAGCTACCGATCCCAATGTTCACTCACCAACTGGACTGGAGAAGATAAAGCACAATGGGTAAGAAACTCTTCCATCTTCATGCTGGTACTTGTAACTATACACAATAAATGTTTTTTCTGAGGTTAAAGAAACTAAGAAACTGATTATTAGGATATAATCCTTGACCTTGATGCAGGCACAACTCACTGTAGCATTTCAGAAGATGTTTAGATTTGATAATAAAAGTCTCACTGTTCTGTTTTCACTTCCACGCGTGACTTTCAGAACTGACCCTGCCTTGGGGTGAGGGCTGTCCCTCAGTAATGTTTCCCATCAGGGCTAAAAATCACCCTCACATTGCAAATATTCCTCTCCTTTACAGCTCGGTAAAAAGACTTCCCACACACCCACCAGTGTGGTTTGGGCTTAATGAAAGCCCAATTCTTTCTTTGCTGACCGAGCAGTTTGTTGTTCCAGGTGTTTTGCTGAATTTGAACTGCAGTTTTAGCCAGGACTTCTGTTTTACAGCCTCCCACTGCACTGTGGGCATGAAAGGAAAGATTCAGCACAGCCCATGGAGTGGTGCCAGCCAGCTCTGGAGGCTGATGCAGGCAGGTATTTTCTTCACTTACAACCTAAGTACCCCTTTTATTTCATTAGTTAAAGAATAATTTACTTGTCCCTCCGTCGTTCCCCTTTTTTTTTTTTTCTTTTTCAAAACAAGGATTCCTCCCCAGATCACATGCCCACAGAATCAGTAACTGCAGCAAAACAACAGCCACATCCTAAGAAAGAACCAAAACACATCCTGAGCTACACAGACACACTTCTATATTTAGAAGCAGCCACAAACTGGTACATTTTACTCACTTCTTTACATTACCAGCAGCGTGGCTTGGCTTTACTTCCCCAAACATTATATAGTCTAAAAGGGAATAAAATCTCAGGAGAGGCTTAAATGAGTCATTGATTCAGCAAGTGGGACAACAGTTCAGGACATCCTTAGAACAGATCCCTGGATTATCTCACAAATAAAGCATCAGGAAAATCACAGCACAGCAAGTATTGGCCTAAAAAGGTGAAGTCCAACGTTCTGAGCAGCTTCCAGCAGTGAGTAAGACCAAATGGCAGCGGCGTGAGAAGGATATCGAGGTTGTCTCTCGGGCAGCTCATCTTTGAGCTCATCAGGAGAAATACCCTGGTGACATTAAACACAAGCAATATTTGAGCAAACGGTCCTGCACTGGAGGGTTAAAGCAGAGTAATGGACAGTGAAACACCTGCAAGGCAGATGGACATCTACAGGTGAACTGATCATGACCTCCCAAGTTACTAGAGCAGTCTGGGAACACTTGTGTGCCAACAGAGTCCTATGACTAAACACAGAATTAATGTTAGCATGAATAATCATCCCTATTTTAGGCATAATGAGTTTAGCAAACACTTTTGGCTCTGGTTGGCTATGCTGGCAGCTACCACACTTTGCTAACTCTAGTGCTAAACAGAAGTGAGCAAGCACACACCAAAAAGTAAGTTAAAATCAGCTACATAAATGAAAAATTCGAGAAATTCAGTCCTTCCTCCTTCAGCAATCAAAAAGGAGCCCCCATTCTATTTAAATTTTACATTAACTTCTACGTTCTAAGGGAACAAGAGCTATGGTTAATGCTCAAATCCCTGGGAAGGATTTAATTTTGCCCTATGGACCATTAAGAAACACCACACACTGGGCTGACCTTATTATGCCACCCATCAAATTTAGAGTCTGCAGGGGATTAGCAATCCTGCTTCTAATTGATGGCAGACCAGCTCAGAGGCAAATGTGCAGATCTACGTGGAAACACAGCGGAAATCTCTTCAAAAAGCCAGCAGGTGCCAAAGATGCTTTTTACACAGTTAAAACAGCTTTAAAAATAACTTTTTTTTTTTTTTTTTTTTAGTGTGCAGTTAATTAGTCAACTCAATTGCTTCTGCATAGTTTCACTATTAATGGTGCTGTGCTTTACATGCAGAGTGACCATGCATTTAAATAAGCTCATGACCCAAATTAGATTAAGAGTTTGATAACAATTTGAAACTAAGGCAGTACCTTAGAGACAACAATATATTGCAGGCTGAAGATACTCTTATTTACAATTCATTTAACAAACCTCATGCTCCTCATCCAGCACCACCAACTGCTTATCCTTGTCGATTTTCACTATAAATCAAAATAAAACACAGATCAATGTTGGTTTCGATCGATTTATACAATGGATGCAGAAGCTTTTTAGCATTCAACAATGACAGCCCTTGTGATTCTGCTTTGCTTCTTCAGCACATCCCATGACTTCCCAAAATCATTTCACAAACAGTGGTAGACTCTGAGCCGTAATTACCCATAAATACTCTGCTAAGAGCAGACGGAGTCTCGTATCGTAAGGACAGCACTGTTTCAGTGTTCAGGTTACAGGCAAAATTGGAAGCACTGCAGCTCCTACAACAAACATCCTCTTGGCTCACATTCACCTGTCCCAGCAGCAGCGGTACAGGGGGAGGAGAACAGGAGGCAGGGCTTTGTGGCAATTTTTGTCAGGCACGTTTGGAACTTACTTATAATGGCAGCGTTGTTGGTCTCCTTGCGAAACCGGAATTTTCTCAGCTTCTCCACCAGGTCTTCGGCAACATCACAAACCACCAGAGATTCGCTCTGCAAAAAAAAGGAGAGGGCGCAGGGGAGGTAGAGATAAATCTTTCTGGAGAGTAAAACAGAAAAGAAATCCCTGTGTCATACAGATGTGTGCAGAAAGCCTGCTGAAGTGGGCCTGCATGCAGTTGGCCAAAGTTTCAGAACATCACATAAACCAGGTTTTTAAAAAAAACCCCAACACATTAAGAGAGCATTTATCTGTTTAAATATCCCTCCTCAAAGCCATGCAGTTAACTAGGAATATTTTGTTAACTCTTTCTGAAGTGGGATTATTTTCACAGCTCTCAGAAGTAAACTTTACATTTCAGAAGTAGATTTTTTTACTTCTGCACCGAGAAGTAAATTTTACACTTCATTTGCCAAGTCCTGAAATGAGGGAGCCCCTTGGAGGGTCAGTAAACGGGGTAAAGTAATTTAAGCACTTAAAATAATAGGAGCTACTATTAATATTGCAGAAGAACATAATGATTAAGGGTCACTGCTTACTTTTACCCACAGAAACCTTAATTGAACTTTGGAGATTTACACATAAAGCATTTAAGGCGTTTTAACCAAAAAAACACGCAGGCTTCTTTCCCCCCTGTGCACACCAAGTTGTCAGCAGAGATGCCCAGATAACACATTAGTCATCACGCTGGAGATGAGGAAGGAAATCATTATTTCACAAGCAGCCATGCAGGTTATCTTGCCTTGTACATGCAATTTCTGAACTGCACCAAGCCAACCACGGCCACTTCCTGAGCCACATTTTAGACACACAGCCTCTCTCTGTCCAAGAGGTTCATGCCAGCCAGATAAAGAAGAGTTATTTAATATCTGCAGCTTGTATTGTATTTGTAAACTCCTAAGGCATCGAAGCTTTTGGGCCAAAATGACTGTATTTCAAGGCTTCCCTAAAAAGAATTCCTTAAAGAAAAAAACGTAGTGCAATTAATCACCTATTAAATGCTCTAATAAGGAGCTCTTTCACTGAGAGAAATCACAGTTCATAAATCAGAAGTTGCTATTTAAGCTCTCAGTTCTATCTCCTTGTGTTCACCGTCATTTGTAAGATTTCCCTCAAAAAGCAGAGGGGTGGCTCTGCTCCCCCACCTCCCATATCCCATGTTTGCTGTCAGTCCTGAAAAAGAGTTCCACCTTGACCAAATTCTGGCACAAATTCTCTGCTTCCTTTGGACAGCTGGAGAGGAAACCAGGCTCTGCTGTGACAGCACAGCTCAGGCACAGCGTGTGCACACTCCCTTATTTTGCCTCTTTTTTCCCTAAAGATTGTTCTTGGCTCCCTCTGATCCACAAATGGATTCCTCTGATCCAAACAGGTTGGGGCTCGATGATCTCAGAGGTCTTTTCCAACATAACTCAACAATTCTGGGAAATGTCACTCATATCCACTCTCACTAATATGGGGGGGGGGGGGGGGAATTTCTTAAAAACTATTTTTAAAACCAGCAAAATTCAGGGCTGCGTTTCACAGCTGAATTTACATTTTGCCTGAGATGTCACTAATACCAACTCGGGAGGTCTCTATTAAAAACAGAAAATAAAAACAGAAAATTAAAACAGGATTCAGGGCTGCATTTCAAAGCTGGGGTGACGCTCTGTACGAAATGCCCTTTCCCGAAGGAAGCCTCTCTCCCAATCCTCTGGGCTCAGCGGTTTCTCCCAGCAGACAAGCCTTGCCCTCGCTCCACCTGTGCGGCCGAACAAAAAAAAAAAAAAAAAAACCAAACAATTCCCCGAGGGAATTCGAAGGAGA